CTGTCCAGGTGTCCCAGTGATGGACTGGAGACCTGTCCAGGTGTCCCTGTGATGGACTGGAGACCTGTCCAGGTGTCCCCCTCCTTTCACACAGTGACTGCTGGATATGGACACCTGTGACCCCCGTGATCTGAAAAGGAAGAAGTGAGTGAAGATGATGGATGGAATTGAAGTAATAAAGATTTAATCAGTTTAACAGAAACAAAAACTTGTTTAATTTTGTGTAAACCTCCAGATTCTGTGCACATTTCTTTCTGGTTTCTTTCCAGTGATCCAGACTTCTCCGGACTTTCTAAAAGGTTTTATTCATTTATTTATTTTCCAGATGTTTGGACAAACCTGTAAGTTATGTCTTCAAGGAAACAAATCCACCAAACCCCGATCAGCTGATCCAGTTTTCACCTGCCGGAGCTAAAGTCCCTTTGTTCTGTGAACTGTTCCATCTTTGATGGTTTTTAATTGATTCAACTGAAGAAATAGGATCAAACTTCATGTTTTACGACAGACTGATGAGAACTTGGTTCATCCAGCTGTGGAGCAGCTGAACCAGACTCCATCTTGTTGCCGCTCCAGCTGCTGTTTCCTTCAGATCAGTGTTTAGTGAGCCTGAGCCGGGCTGCAGGTGTCTTCATCTCCAGCTTGTTCTTCAGCCTCTGCTGACCCCACCCGAGACTGCAGTTTTCATGTAAACCTCCAAGACTCCAAACACCTTGCAGGTGTCTTCATCTCCATCTTCTACCTCTGATCCATAGTCAGGTCGCAGAGGCCACAGGTCCAGGAGAGAAACTCAGACCTCTCCAGCGACGCTTTCCAGCTCGTCATGGAGGACCCCGAGGCGTTCCCAGGCCAGAGAAGATAAACCATCCCTCTATAGAGTTCTGGGTCTTCACTGAGGCCTCCTACCAGAAGGATGTGTCTGGAAAACCTCTGAAGGGAACGTCCAGGAGGCGTCCTCGACCGGAAATGGGTGGAAGGCCTCCTCCAGGTCAAGGGGAAACTTCACCTCAGGTGGAGGAGTTTACGTATCTGGGCTTCTTGTTCCTGAGTGATGGCAGGATGGATCGACAGACTGGGGCCTCGTCCTCAGGAATGAGGGTGTTGTTTCGGTCGGTCGTGGTGAAGAAAGTGCTGAGTCGGCTGTAATGAGCTTCCTTCGTAGGGTGGGGCTCGGATGGAGCTGCTCCTCTGCATCCAAAGGAGTCAGCTGAGGCGGTTCCTCTGATCAGGACGCCTGCAGCGCTCTGAGTTGACCTGAGATGTGTATCAAAGTGTCAGAACGAATCCTGCAGCTCGGCGAGGACAGAACCAAAACCCAAACCCTCAGCGGGTCGGAGCCGTGTTTGTGTTTGTTTGTCATCTGGTTCGGATCACGAAACGCCCTCTCTCTCCACTCCGAGCTTCACTTATCGTTAAATCATCTCCGGGTTCTGCAGAACTGCAGGAGAAACCACATCTGCTGAGCTCAACCGTTCCTGGTCTGAACCAGGCGGTCCGGTTCTGTGTGAACGACCAGCGTCGGCCTCGGACACCCGCCTTCCTCTGCTGCAGGAAGTGCTGCAGCGTAAACAAACCTGTGGAAAGGAGGATTTTCTGTGACCGCAGTGAAACACGAGGACACACGAGAAGACGGTTTATTTATCCAAACAATAAAACCGGAGGAGAACAAACAAATGTTACGATAAAAAAAGAGTCAGAGCTGAATGAGAGACTGTTTCAAATCATTAAACATTAAGTTGTAGCTGCAGATCCAGACCTGCGTCAGCTACAAGGAGAGTTAAAACACGACGATGAATTTCTCTGGGTCACATGAACGAGGGATGTTCTTGTTTTTCTGTGGACATTCTGAGACGGTATTTTTAGAGCTGATGTTAAAAAAAACAGCTGAACAGTTCGTTTCTGTCTCTGAAAAGTCAAAAACTGGGTTATTCATGTTAAAAGTAGCTAAAGGCTAGCTAAGAGCTAAATGTAGCACAAACGATAAAGCCAAGTCAGTTTGAAGAGAATTCAAAGCAAGCAAGGAGCTGCAGAAGTCCCTGAAGGGTTCCGGTGACCTCAGGTGCCGTGATCTTCAGCTCTCACTGGAGCGGTCCACAGCCGGGATGAGGATCGGGACCTCCAGACCTGAGTCCATGGTCCTCAGTCAGAGGGTGGACCATCCTGTTTGGGTTGGAGGTTCTACCTCAAGTATCAAGAGAAGAATGGAGCCTGAGATCTGCAGAGTGATCGGGACAGCTTCTGCAGTACTGTGGACTCTGTGCCGGTCCGTTGTGGTGAAGAGGGAGCTGAGCTGTAAGGAGAAACTCTCTGATTACTGGTTGGTCTACGTTCCTACCCTCACCTCTGGTCCTGAACTCTGGGTGGAGACTGAAAGAACCAGAGCCTGGATCCAGGAGGTCTAAAAGAGTTCTCTCTACAGGGCTGGATTCTCCTCAGAGATCAGGTGAGAAGTTCAGTTCTCCAGGAGAGACTCGGAGTAGAACTGCTGATCCTCCACATGCAGAGGATCCAGCTGAGGAGGTTCAGACATGGTCAGGATGGACCCTGCAGCCTCCATGGGGAGGTGTTCTAGACACGTCCGACTGGGAGGAGACCCAGGAGAAGGTCTTTCAGCTGGTCTGGGAACACCTTGGGTTCTCAGAAGATCTGGAAGAGGAGTCTGTGGACAGAGATGTTCCAGCTGAAAAATATCTGAATAAATCAGAAGATCTTTGGTCCTGGTTGGATGAGAGCCTCTCGCTCTTCAACACACTCAAACCTGTGGGATGAAAACTCCATCTAAATATTTTATTTAATAAATGAAACCAATAAAGTTCTGGTTGGTTCATGTTTGATCTGGACCTTGTTCTGTTCATATCCACGGCTGAAAACCTGAAGGAACCTCGAGGATCTGAAAGGAACCAGAGTCCAGCTGCTGTTTGCACCTCCACGACTAACAAGGTGCTCACTCTGAAAAAGTCTCCTGCAGGACAAAGTGGACCAGGTCCAGTTCTTTACAGCACCAGAGTTCATGAAATAAAATGTTTGGGTGTCGTTGAGAAGCTGACGTGGAAATCTCATGTAAATTACTTAAGAATAAAAATAACTAAATCAATTGTGTTACTGTATAAAGTAACAAAGAGTTGTTGAATGACAAAGCTTTGTATATATTATATAATGTAATGATTGTTCCATATATTGAAGTTTGGGGAAAAGCATGAAAACAATTACAAATCCTATTTTTATTTTACAAAAAAGAGCTATCTATAAGAATTATTAGTATATGGTCACCCAACAAATATATTATTTCATCAGTTGAAATTATTACAATTTTATTATTTGGTTGAAAATAGTGTTTTACAATTCGTGCATAAAGCTCATAAAAAATATTACCCCCAAATATTCAATTAAAATTAGTTAAAAAAAGAGAGTTGTTATAACTTTAATGGAATGGAAATGTTTGTACAACCTCCATTTGGAACTGGTCTGAAGGAGCTGCGCTGTAGTTCAGGGAACAGGATTTGGGAACTGCCTCCATATAAAATTCTAAAACAAGTTACATGTTTAAAAAGATGATTAAATTAAAATTGTTGGGAAGGTTTGGTGTCAGGTGAAGGATACCTGATGATTTTTGTTTTCAGTCTGGAGATGTTCAAGCCTAAGGTTTTTTTTTTCCTAGTTATTTTTTTTAATTGTTTTTTAATAAGGGGCAGATATTATAAAAATTAATACACTAAAATTAAATTAAAATTAATAAATAAATATTCTTATACAAGGGCCCCTCACATGGGTCGCTTATAGTTCCGCTATATTCAGAACATGGAGTCCCCTCCTTTGGTCCCCTGATATTCAGGGGCCCCTATGGTTCCCTCGCCCTTATTTTCAGTTCCTGTCCAGTGTCCCCTCAGGGGCCACTCACATTCGTGGTCCCCTCATGTCCAGGGGCCCCTGTGCGTCTTTAAGCTGACTGATAAAGTTGCGGGTCTGTGCGGGCTGTCGGGTCAGTCAGTCGGTTCGGGTTGAAATTGTTGCTGTTTAATGAGTTCGGACAGCGTGACGTCACAGACTAATTAGCTGCGCTTCCGGTTCTAGGCTCCGCGCACAGGTCTGGGCTCGTGGAGCACCTGCGGGTTGGTGCGTGAGGGAAGTGTTTGGACTGGACCGGGTTCAAGCTGTGAGGGAGGACGGATTACGCCACTTCATGGAAACAAGCGGGACTTAAAGAAGGTTCTGTCAGATCCGGAGCAGAAAGGTTCGGAGGGTCTGAGGGTCGCAGCTGGTACCGGCAGCATTATGGTTCCGACACATGACGGATGGGGGAATAAAACTTTTCTGGATTATATTCTATAAAACGTGTTTTTGGCAGCAGCTTCAGTTTGGATCAGAACTTTTGATTCGTTTTTTTTTCCCCGCAGCAGAACTCAGGAGCGGATCTGAGGATGAGACGGTCCGGACTGGACTCGGTTCTGTTTTCAGACGCACAGGTCCAATAACTCTGAAGTGTTACCATGACGACCTGCAGGAAGGTCAAAGGGCATTAGGATGAAAGTTCTGACCTCTGTTCTGCTCAGCTGCTGGACCCTGGTTCTGCTGCATCCCGTCCGCGCGTCGCTCAGCCGAACCAGGCTCGGACAGTCAGCGGAGCGCACGGAGGGAGCGGACCGAGCAGTGGGGAGCTCGTGGGTCCGCGTGGCACCGCCGCCGATCAAAACGGACTTGAGCCCGATCAGAACCAAAGCCGGACCGAACCGGGACCCCCAGCAGCAGGACGGAGCGGCGCGCTCCTGGCGTCCCGCGGCGGAGGCGCGCGTAAAGCCGCACGCTCCTGCAGCTGTTGACGCGCGCGCAGCGGGAGCAGAGCCCGCATCCTTCGGAGGGGGAGGAGGGGGGGCTCCGGGGAGAGCTGCGTCCAGGGCGGCCGCGGCGGCGCGCGGCGGGTTTCCGGCGGCGCAGCGGGGACTCAGCGGCAACAAGAACCCGAACCTGAGGCTGCAGGTGGACCACAAGCAGCCGCTGGTGGTTCCGCACGACTACATGCTGTCCCTGTACTGGTCCCTGAGCAGCCGCGACCTGAACAGCAGCGCGCTGCACGCGGCGGGGCTGGCCAACACGGTCACGAGCTTCGTGGACCGAGGACAAGGTGACGCTTTACTTTTACTGATTTATAAAACTTTTAGTTATTCAAAGATTAATAAATAAAAGTAAAATGTAAACTTTAACTGAAACTCATTTATACATTTTTATTATTTGCTGAACCGTCATTCAATCCAATTCAATTCAATTCAAAAATACTTTATTAATCCCAGAGGGAAATTAAATAGGTCATTTAAGATGAGGTCATGAGGTCCATTTAAGATTTAAAGGAAATCAAACCGGTTCTGTCAGTCACAGCTCCAAGTCCGAGCGGTTCTGGAAGGGTTCTGAAAGTTCTGAAACTGGGAACCAGAAGTTCTGAATGGTCTGGAGGAGGACGAGGAGGAGGGGGGCTCTTGGGGGGCAGGCTGTAGTCTGGGAAGGCGCGGGGCGGGTGGTGTATCTGGAGAGAGGGGTCAAAGGTCAGTGGACCTGCAGGAACCTGAATGGACCCGTTCTGCGGAGATCTTTACAACTTTTCTCCTGCAGAGCTTCTTGTAGGTGGACCAAGGTCGAGGTGATGTTCTCACTCACTGAGGGGCACATCCAGGGGGAACTGTAGAACCCGGAAACATCTGGCTCATTACTGTGGAACCGGACCCTGGATGCTTAGTGGAGCAGGGTCTAGAGCCAGGTCATGTGGACCTGGTACCGGGATGGTTCAGAGGGCTGTGAAAATAATGACTGATATCAATAACCACGTCCCTGAGAAACTAAATATTTTGTGCAGAAAAAATGATTAAGTTACTGGATCTAAAAGAACAAAGAGTCAGAATCAAGGTTCTGAGGTGATGCAGCACATCGACCCTCCAGTGATTCCATTAGTTGGATGTTGGTCCGGTTGCAGAGGGTGAACATCTGCTGTTCTCACGTCCTGCTTGAAGTTCTGAATCCAGACACAAATCCTTCACAATAAAAGCTACAATCGTTTGGTCTTTTATGAGTTAGGGTCATGAGTCGCTCCGCATCAGCAGCTAGCGGTTGTTCTTCCTCCGGCTGGACACCTGCACTCACCTGCACACACCTGCACACACCTGCACACACCTGCCTCACACCTGCCTCACCTGCACACACCTGCACACACCTGCACACATCTGCCTCACCTGCACACACCTGCACACACCTGCCTCACACCTGCCTCACCTGCACACACCTGCACACACCTGCCTCACACCTGCCTCACCTACACACCTGCCTCACCTGCACACACCTGCACACACCTGCACACCTGCCTCA